CCGAGAGCTTCCTGCCCGTGTGTCTCCTCCGGGCACTCCTGGACTTAAGGCGGGCTCACCACAGCTCGAGCCCCGGGCCCTTCTGCCCTCGGGCTGCTCGAGCTCCGGCCCAGGGGACCGGCGCCCATTGCTGTCCCCCGAAGTCACGCTGTGGGAACTATTGCTGTTCTCGCTGTAGAAGTCGGGTGCGTGATTGTGAGAGGATGCGGCCGAGCCTGGGCGGTGGCTCCGCCGCATCCTGACCTGGGGCTGCCCCCACCCCGGGAAGCCGAAGTCGCCGCAGCAGCCAAAGCCCTCGGCCCTCCCTCAGCTGCCGCGCGCCGCGGGGTCGGACCCTGCGTGAACCCCGGGCGGCGCGGCCGACTCAGCCCTGGCGTCTGCGACCTGCCCGCTGTTGGCGTCACAGAGGAGCCGTGTCACAGAACCGCCTGACGTCACGGGAGCCTAGCGGACACCTATTTACCACCGCTGTGTGCGTGTGCGCGCGTGTGTGTGCGTGTGCGCGTGTGTGTGCGTGTATGTGCAAAGTGTGTGTCCAGAGGTTGATGTTTGCTGTCTTCCGTCGCTCTCCACCTTAGCTTTTGAGAGACTGAACCTGGGGCTCACCGGTTTTTGTTTTTTGTTTGTTTGTAAGCTAGTGCCTGCAAGACCCCATGGTTCTTTTTTTTTTTTTTTTTTTTTTTTTTGGGAATTGAACTCAGGACCTCTGGAAGAGCAGTCGGTGCTCTTAACCTCTGAGCCATCTCTTCAGTCCCCCCTGGCTGCTCCCCCAGAGCTTTTGATTACAGGCATGTGCCATTGCACCCTTTATTCATGTCGATTCTGGGGCTAGCAACTGAGGTCCTCATGCTCGGGCAGCAAGCAGTTTATTCACTGGGCTATGTCAGCCCTTCACTTTGTTTTCTGAGCAAACCAGCAAGTCCTGGGATTCTGCCGTGTCCACCTCCCCAGAGTTGGGATTACAGGCCCCTGGCCTAGCTTTTCACTAGAGTGGAGTCTGCACTTGGGTCCACTTGGGTCTTCATTGACTGCCATCTTCCAAGTCCTTTATGTATTTTGGACATGAAGTCTTGCTGCCCGGGTACTGGCTATGTAGCCCAAGATGATCCCAAGTCAGAGTAATACTGACTGAGTCGCCCATGTGATTGAATTACAGACGTTTCATTATGCCTGTCATACCCAATGTTAACTTATGAGGCTTGGGCGGGGGTGGGGGCGTGTGGAGACAAAGTTTCTCTGTGTAACACTGGCCATCCTTGAACTTGATCTGTAGACTAGTACTCACGGTTCCACCTGCCTCAGCCTCCAGAGTTCTGGGATTAAAAGCGTGTGCCACCAATGGCTGGCAAGAATGGGGATTTTGCTTGTTTTGTTCATTTCTGTATCCTCCAGCACCTAGATAGGTCTAGCCTATAATGAGTACCCAGGTATTTACCAATACTTAGTAAATATTAAGAAGGAACAATTCAACCAATTAAAAAAATTACTTTGTTTCAATCACCCTCTTTATTTTTGAAACAGTCTCACTATGCAGCCAAAGTTGGTCTGGTGCTCAGATCTGCCGGCCTCTACCTCCCAACACTGGGGTAAAGGCATGACTACATGACTACACTTCCAGCCCTCTGTCTCTGTCTCTGTCTCTGTCTCTGTCTCTGTCTCTCTCTCTCTGTCTCTCTCTCTCTCTCCTCTTTATTTCCTCTCCCCCTTACTGCTCTCTCTCTGTGTATGTGTAGATCAGAGGACAACTGGTGGGAATTAGTTTTCTCTTTCCACCATGTGGGAATCAGGAATCAAATTCAAGTTTTCAGGCTTGGCAGCAAGTGCCACTGAGCCATCTTCCTGTCCTAGAATGTACATTTTAACTATATGCTCTATCCTAATTAAGGTCCACACCAGGAAAAGCAATGGAGTGCAACTCACAAGATTTATACAAGGAGTCCAACAGGTGCAGAGAGGGAAGAGGGCTTACTTCCCTGAGATCATGTTGCATGACATCTGGAAATCCTGACCCAGCATGGTGGTAGAACAGGATTTTAATCTTAGCACTATGGAGGTAGAAGCAGGAGAATCTCTGACTTCTGAGTTCAAAGGCAACCTGGTCTACATAAGGAGTCTCAGGAGAGCCAGGTCTATATACAGAGATACCGTCTCAAGAACAAACAAAACAAAACAAAAACACACCAAAAACAATTCCAAAATCCTGCATGCACCCCAGCCCAATGCTTTGTTTGTTTGTTTGTTTGTTTTTGTTTGTTTTGGACACATCGCATCTTACTTAGAATGTTAGCCAGCTTGCAGAAGTGGCAGTTCGTAGAGAGGCTGAGGAACAGAGACAGTCTGTTATGGTAAGCTGTATTCCCGCCCAAAGGAGGTACTTGTTCCAGGCTCTAGAGAGGTGACATTAATGTGACTTTAGATTCCACAGAGCCCAGGAGGAAAGAGGAATAGAAATCTGATCTCAGCCAGGCAGTCCCATTCTGACCCTGCCCTGTACTCAGTTTGAGAACTCCTTTGGGTTTCAGTTTCTCTGACAGAGGGCGGTAAAGCCCCTCCTTAGCATCTAAGTACTGTGACAGCTAATCTGGATCTTAAAAAGAGAGCAACCTTGGACCACCTTGGCCAACAATACAAAGGGAGGACCCCCAAACGTCTACAATGCAACCCTTAACACCTAAGGCTTAGGAAACATTGGAAGAAGGAGCAGGAAGATTGTTAAAGCCAGAGATGCTTCATTCATGAACAAGGTCTGCATAATAACACAAGGCACGCCAACAGGGATGAGGGGACTTGCATGAGGCCCCACCTCTTGATGAGCTACTGGCAAACTGTGGCTGCTGAGAGGAGGAGCATCAGTTTTCTCTAGAGACAAACATACTGACAGGTTATCCCAAGGGGTCAGCCCTGAGCACATGTGTGTAAGTGCAACACTAAACGGGCTCTGTAGGGTGTGTGTGTGTGTGTGTGTGTGTGTGTGTGTGTGTGTGTCCACATGCAATGATAATTATAGAAGAGATCATGAGTTTGAGAGGGAGTGATGGGGCATGGGAGGATTTGGAGTAGGAAGGGTGTTGGGAATCATACCACATATGAAATTCTCAAAAACATTAACTTAAAAAGCAACCTTTCTTGTCAAATACGGAGTTTTGTTCTTGTTATTTTGTTTTGCGTGACTTTGAGGTTTTAGAAGAGGATCTCTTTCCGGTTGCCCACATTTGACTCAAACTCACTGTGTAATGATGACCTTGAACCTCTCATCCTCCTGCCTCCCTCTCCTAAATTCTGGGGTTATAGTTATTCACTATGCTGGGAATAAACCTATGGCCTCCTGCATGCCAAGCAGGTATTCTACAAACTGAGCATATCTCCAGTTCTCCCTCATGCTGCTATTGAGATGGAAAAGCTGACACAGGGAGGAGCCAGATACTTAGCTTGAAGTTTTATAACAAGACCCAGTTCTGCTGATAGTCCAACCTTATCTGTTATTGCTGTGTGCATTCCTTGTATTTCAGCCAAGCTGAACAAGTTACTAGTCTTGGGACACACTATTCCTTCCCACTGCCTGAATGCTGGTCTTTGGTCCCAGTTTTTATCTTCAGATCTGAAGGCTGTTTGAAGGAGTCCACAAATACCCAGATAAAGAAATAATAGGTATTTATTTGGGGAACACTCACACAATGATGGTGAATAACTGCGTGACCCTTCCTGCTCCTGAAGATGCAGCCTCTGCCCTTCAGGGTGCTCCCACCACAACCCAGGAGAAAGAGCCATCCTCTCCTCTTCCTTAGGAGGGGTCACGTCTGTACACAGTAAAGTCACACCTTAAGATGTGGCCGCCACCCCAAGTCCATTGGCAGAACAAGATGCCACTACACAGATCCCTCTGCCCTCCCTCCTCAGAGATCCCCATTCCTGACTTTTTCCTACTGTGAAAGTAACTGCGGTATACTCTTTTTTATGCTGTGTTATTATTGGCACGTATGAAACTTCTGAGAGATAAAGAACACATCTGTTTCACCACTGCTTGGCTCTATCTCTCCATTTGTGAGAACACTGCAAAAGTTCTGCACATAGGAAGTAAATTAAAAAGGAGTAATTGGGCCGGGCGTTGGTGGCGCACGCCTTTAATCCCAGCACTCGGGAGACAGAAGCAGGGGGATCTCTGTGAGTTCGAGGCCAGCCTGGTCTCCAGAGTGAGTGCCAGGATAGATAGGCTCCAAAGCTACAGAGAAACCCTGTCTCGAAGACCCCCCCCCAAAAAAAAGGAGTAATTGGGAGTTGAGACAGTGGTGGTGTACATCTCTAATCCCAGAACTCGGGAGACAGAGGCAGGCAGATCTCTGAGTTCAAGGTTAGCCTGGTCTACAGAGCTAGTACAAGGACAGGCAGGACTACACAGAGAAACCCTGTCTCAAAAAACAAAACACACCTGGGATTGACATGTAAAATAATTTTCATTCTAATACAAAAAGTTATAAAAAAACACAAACAAAAAAAGGAATAATTGGGCCAGGGAGATGGATAAGCTAGTAAAATGTGCTGCCAAGTCTGACCAACGCAGGCTTAAATTTGACTCCCAGGATCCACAGGGTGGAAGAAGAGAACTCACTCCTGCAAGTTGTCGTCTGACCTCCACAAGCATGCTGTAACATGTACACACACCCTCCAAAATAAATAATATGCAAACAAATGTAATTTAGAAATTCAAAACTAATCGGAGGCTGGAGAGATAGCTCAGGAGCGAGGAGTGCTGCTCATCCAGAGGACCAGAGTTTGGTTCTCAGGATTCACATCAGACAATTTACAATTGCCTGCAACTCCAGCTCCCAGGGATCTGAACACAAATGCACACAGGTACACATCAATAATAGTAAAAGTAGGGCTGGAGGGATGGCTCAGAGGTTAAGCTCACTGGCTGCTCTTCCAGAGTCCTGAGTTCAATTCCCAGCAACCACATGGTAGCTCACAACCATCTGTCATGAGATTTGGTGTCTTCTCCTAGTGTGTAGGTATACATGCCAGAACACTGTAAACATATAAATAAATAAAATCTTTAAAAAATAGTAGTGAAAGTAAATGTTAACAACTAAGTAGGGCATTTATATACAAATGCACACATAGTTAATTTTTAGTCTGATTCTAAGGTTTGCAGACTCCCAGACTCCATTTACAGCTTCACTCAAGTTCTAGTACATTAAGCTAAGGACCTATGGCTTCTGGTTAAGAGGCACAAAGTCCAACTACTCTATGTAGTCTAGGGATACATTCAACCACTCATCAATTCAACAATGTGGTGAGTGCTTGCAGCACTAACACTGGGGAGAGGGGGTTCATTTTTGTTTGTTTGTTTTTTTGTTTTTTGAGACAGGGTTTCTCTGTGAAGCTTTGGAGCCTA